CTTCAGCACTGTGCCTTCCCCTGCTCCTCCAACTTTTGTCCATTAATGAAAGTCCAAATCAGCAGATTAATTTAAAAGCCCTTCTTAAAATAAATCTTTAAAATCTGATCATGTTATACTAAAATTGTTTGTCTACGTGCCATTATCCCTTTCTAGCTCAGAGCTTCTCAACTTTAAGGGACCTTTAAAATACCTGCATTTAATTTCTCATTAAAATGCAGATTCTGATCCAGGAGGTCTGGGACGGAGGTTCTGGGTTTCTAACAAGCTCCCAGGCCTAACTTCTGCTGCTGTTGCAGGGGATGAGGTGGGGCAATGGCACTGTATGTGAGCAGCAAGGGAAAAGTCCTTCATGGTTCCACACTCCATTTTCCTCCTGCCCTGGCAATGATTGCAAATTTCTAATGTGAATCTTGAAAAATGAATAAAAATTATCAAGTGAAGGGAGAAAGGGAAGAGAGGGGGCAGGGAAGGGAAGGAGAGGAAAGAGAAGGCGGAAGAGGAAGAAGGAAGAGTTGGGGGGAGGCAGGGCGGGGGAGAGAATAAGCCTGCCTGTGGTCAGTGTCCCTTCGCCTTCCTATAAGGACACTAGTCTTATCAGATTAGGGCCCCACCCTTAGGCCTCATTTAACCTTAACTTTCTCCTTAAATGTTCTATCTCAGATACGGTCACATTGGGGGTAAAGGCTCTCACATATGAATTTAGGGGGGGACACAATTTGCTCCATAACACTATGTGACCTTAGACAAACTCTTTCATTTCTTCAAGCCTCAGTTCCCTCATCCCAGTGGCTTGGAGACAAGAGAGAGTTTGATCATTAAATGTCGTTTATGGGATAACTTGTGTGAAATGCTTTTCATATTCTCTGACACAGAGAGTCTTGCTTGTGTTCCCTCAGAAACAGTGGAGGGTACGTAGATTATTTGGGAAGTGAAGGAAACTGCAACAGAGCCCCAGAGAAGTCAGATGGTGAGAGAAAGCAGCCAATAAAATAAGGGGGCTTCATCTAACAATCACCATTGTAAGAACTGGAATTTCATCTCACTGGGAAATTCGCCTCCTGTGTAGAGTAAACACCTCAGATTCACCTCCACTCCTGGGGCAAGTCTGCTCCTAAAGGGTGTTAATCCTCCTCACTTCCACCTTGCCGTGTCTGTGGATGGTAAGTGCAGATACTAGAGAGAAGTTTCAGGCAAAAAATGCCCAATGTGGCTGCTGGAAGCCCTACCAACTCTGGAAGAATACCTGAGAGCAATTCTGGGGAGATTTCCTCTGTCTGCTATAAATGAGCAACCAGGAAACTCCAGCTGTCTGTCTGTAATGCTGGTCCTAGTAATTGCAGTAGTAGTTTGCAGAACACTAGAAATCCTCCTTGACAAAAGGGTTCCAGAGCCAGATACGTGTACAAAATGCTCATTTCATAGGACTCCAAGCCACAACTCTGCTGATGTCCTACAGTTGAGATGTTAAACTTTTTTTAAAATCTGTGGTTTCTAAACATCTATACACTTTTTCATACTTATCTTTTAAGGAATAAAAGTTTCATAATACATGCTTTGGAGAGTCTTAATTCAGGCTAAGAGAGATTTGACTGTAAAAGTATGATAACAATTCTTTTTTTTTTCTTTGAGATACAGTTCCACTGTTACCCTAAGTAGAGTGTCATGGTGTCATAGCTTGCAGAAACCTCAAACTCCTGAGTTCAAGCAATTCTCCTACCTCAGCCTCCCGAGTAGCTAGAACAACAGGTACCCACCACAACATCCAGCTAGTTTTTTAGTAGAGACGGCGTCTTGCTCTTGCTCAGGTTGGTCTTGAACTCCTGAGCTCAAGCAGTCCACCCACTTCAGCCTCCCAGAATGCTAGGATTACAGGCATAAGCCTAGAACCTGGCCCTATAAAGACACTTTTAATCTATTTCTGCTTTCCACTATAGTCTAGGAACACTGCCTGGAACATAGAAAATGTTCAATAAATATTTGTTATTGTAACCATCTTAATTAAGAAAACATTCCAAATATATTTTTAGTAACAGCAGTTTCATGAAAAATGACTATCTGCTTCCGAAAATGACTGTTTGGTAAGACTTTGGAAGAAATTTCAGCTGAATATACATTTATTGAAATACTGGACACAAAGATTTTCCTTCACCTAGCTTTGTTCTCATTTATTTAAATGAAACACTTTCCTAAAAATGAGGACCCATATTATTAGAAGCTGTTGTCCACTTCACCAAGGAAGAACGTCTCCCCAGATCATTATTACTCCCCAGATCAGATTATTTCAACTACTATTTCCTCCTACACTTTCCCTTTTGTTGAATACTAAGGCTTGCAGCTGTGATCCCACCGTAGGGTATAAAGAATCAAATCAGAGGACTTCCCCTTTAGCCTTGATGTCGGGCAGGCTTGCCATTTGCTGGCCTCAAATGTCAGCTGTGGCCCAGGTGAGTCCCTGTCACTCTTTCTCATCCTCTGACAAGACCTAAGGCATTTTTTAACCTGGTGCAGTTGCTACAGCTGGGACAAAGTGGGCACGATATGTAGGATTTGCAACAAACAGGCTTTTCTCTATAGATCACCACTCCAGCTGGACTTCCCTGCTATTTTGCTCAACTGTCCTAAGAATGGCAACGTCAAAGGCAACTCAATGCTTGTCCACATTGTTACAATGAAAGCTTTGAAACCCGAATTACTCATTCTTTGTAGCCAAGGTGGATGCCTGAAGGCTGTAACAAGTTTGTTTTGTTGCCTGCTTTATTAGCCACTTGTATATCCAAATGGCCATTTCTTAAGCAGGGATATTTCCTGAGGAATTGTGTGTCTTCCTAATAATTGCTAAAAAGCAGGCGCTGGCACACAGCAGTATTCTCTTCCTGCCTTGCAAATGGAAATGTTCAAATTTCGAGAAAAGTTAAGGAGAGAGTGCTGTAGCCATCTAGGTGCTAGTGATAAGTCCCCCTTGTTATTCTTGAATAAAGTTCATGTGGGTCTTGTATGATACAGTCTGTAAAGACAGTTGCCCAATACCTAGTAATGTGACTCATGGGTTACTGAGAGGGTTTGGGGGTCACTTGAACCCATGGGAATAGGTGACCAAGGTGAATGAAACACAGTGACAATGGGCAGAAGGGTTGAAACCAGATTTGTTTGAGAAATGGGGTACTTTGCCTTTCCTTAGTCAGATGTTGACCTGACTACTGCTAATGGGTGACTGTGTTTTGCCATTTATTTGTATTTCTCCCCCACTTTCCTCGCTGAAAGACCCCACAGAGAAGCTGTAAGGTGCATAGGGTCAGACGTTGCATCTGATTTTGCTTACCGCTCTATTCTTAGTGCATAGTACCACGTCTGCCATAGAGAGGGGACTAAATGAATATTTTTATATTTAATGGAGCATCTGCTACATAGTATGTACTTTTTAGGTGGGAGTTTCTATTGCTATCATCATTGTCATCATCATCTTCACCAGGTGATTCTTTATAAAAATATTCTCCTTCAGATTACAGCAGAGCAAACATCAGGATCCTTAAATCCACTTGCCCTAGGGAAGTTCTCTGGACATTTTGTACATGACATTAGCCTGCTCTTGGTATTTTCCTAACCGTTAACACAGAGACAAAAGTATGAGGATGTTAAAGGATGAGCTTGTTTCCCTGCCTTTCACACTGATTTCCTTCCCTATCTGTGAATAATATATGTACAATAGTGTTACTTATTGCTGTATAAAATATTACCCCAAGACGTGACAACTTATAAAGCAAACATTTATTGTCTCACTGTTTCTGTGTATTAGGAAGCAGGGTATAGCTTTTCTGGGTTCACTGGACCAAAGTCTCTCACAAGGCTACAGTCAAGGCCCAGTTATCTCAAGGATCAACTTAGGATCCTTAGCTTAGACACATGGCTGCTGGCTGGACACTTCAATTCCTTGCTGCATGGGTCTCCCTGTAGGGTTACTCACAACCTGGTAACTTACCTCCTCCAGAGCAAAATCTGAGAGAGAGAGAGAGAGAGAATGAGAGGAAGGACAAATGGTGAGCAAGGTGGAAGTCACAGTCATTTTATGACCTAATCTCAGAACTAATATCCAATCACTATTCATTAGAAACAAGTCCATCCCACACTCAAGGGGAGGGGATTATACATGACCATGAATACTTGGAAGCCGCATCATTGGGAACTATCTGAAATAGAAACAGTCTACAACAATAGCTGATGTTCTGCCTAAGCATGAACACAGCTTTTAACTGGACTTTTTTTGCCTTTTGTCCTTTGGAAATCATGAGTTACATAACCACCAAGGCTTCAATGTCTTGCCAAACCTCCCCTTCAAGAAAGGAAGAAAGAGGGGAGACAGGAAACTGGGCAGGTTCTGCCAAGAATAGCTTTCACTACACTGATGATTTTGATGATGATTGTAGTTGTCATTGCATGTGTGCACTGACGCTGAATCACGAAGAGGACCCCAATTACTCCTATTGGATCGTCTCAGCATCAGCTTCCTGGTGACTGACTTTATAGCTTCCTAATTAATATATTAAAATTAGAGCTATAGAGGTATAGACACAGGAGCTGCATACTTAGACCTTGGGTTCCTTTCCCTCCCTGCACTCCATCCTACACTTTGCATCAAGGCTTAACGCCATTTTGGGATCATTCTGAAGCCTTATCTACTTTATCTTAACATACATAGTCAGCATTGTGCATCTAATTTTGATATAAATCTTTCAGTAACAATTAAGCCACCTCCTATTGACTGAATTATCTGGTACTTCCTCACTTCATAACTTTCTTATATTATACACCATAAAAGGAAAGAAAGAAGGGGCTAAGAAAGAAGGGAGAAGCCCAAGGACAAGCCCTGGAATATAAACGGACATAAGTATTGTCATAATTTCAAGTAGAGCTATGAGTACAGAGTTTTGAAAAGAAATTAAACCAAAAATGGAGCTTTAGATACATAACTAGTATCTTCACCTTTGTTTCCTTTCATGCAGATTGTTTCCCAGAGAAAGCTGTCTAAATCCTTGCTGAAACATGGGAACACAGCCGGGAAATCCTCCATCACGGTAGGTAAACCCGCTCCAAGTAGCCGGCTGCCCAGGTGTGGGGCTGGGCTGGGCTGGCTGCTCCAAATCTCTCACTTGGGAGGCAGACCCTCTGGCTATGGAGAGTTGATGCCGTAATTGCTGCACTATCTTAGTCACTTCTTTTTCCTTCCTTCCTTCACTTCCCTGACAAAACAATTTGATCCTTCTACCCCTAGGAAAAATGGGGAAGAAAAAGAATTTGCCAGTGAGGTTATGCATTTCTAATGAGCACTTTTGCAATTGCAAGATAGGTTTCAGTGGAAGAGAACGATGGAGGAATAGTGAGAATACGGAATTATCTGGGTTTTCAAACCATCAGAGCCACCTAGCCTGTCTCTCATTTATTTTGAGAATTAAAACTTTGTTTTAGGGCAGCTGCCTGTGGCTCAGTGGGTAGGGCGCCGGCCCCATATACTGAGGATGGTGGATTCAAACCCGGCCCTGACCAAACAGCAACAAAAAAAATAGCCAGGCATTGTGGCGAGTGCCTGTAGTCCCAGCTACTCAGGAGGCTAAGGCAAGACAATCACCTAAGCCCAGGAGCTGGAGGTTGCTTTGAGCTGTGATGCCACAGCACTCTACTGAGGGGGTGATAAAGTGAGATTATCTCTACAAAAAAACCAAAACAAAACAAAACTTTGTTCTTATAGCATTCAGCCCAAGCTTGATTTGTTCCCAAAAGACCACAGAGCCTAACATTTAATACTCCTCTTTAATATAATGGTTTGGAGCTATGCTGTCTGGTTTAGTAGCCTTTGGCCACAGGTAACTATTTAAACTTAAATACAACTATTTAAAAGTAAAGTAAATGTTCAGTTCCTTAGTTACACTGGCCACATGTTATGTGTTCAATAGTTACATGTGGCTAGTGGCTATGGACAGTGAAAATTATGGAACATTTCTATCATTGGAGAATGTTCTATTGGGTAATGCTAAAAATATATATTTTTAAAACAAAGCTTAAATTTTTAAATAGAACTCACGGTATTTGAAATTTTGACAACTTTTGTTAGAGCCCTTAAGAAAGGTAAAAGTGTTCCAACCATTTGGCTATATGGACAAAGGCAGAAAACTAGAGGAGGGGGAGATAGAAAAAGATACTAGAACAAATTAAAATGTGAGGGAGGCAAATCGCCAGAAGGCAAAGCTCCAGAGTTCCTTTGAACATTCCTTCTTAGCCTTCTGTCTTGGGTGTGATCTCTCCTCCCCATCTCTGTCTTTCTTCTTATCTCTCTCTCTCTCTGTCATCCCCCAAAGCCCAGATATGTTATTTTGAAAAATAGGAATTAGAATATTTCTTTGACAACCATACGATCATTGGTCTGGAAGAGATGTGGAAACCAGTTTATTCCCCCATTCCTTGTTGGTATGACTCAAAATAGTTGAATATTACCATTCTTCCTCCTTTGTAACTTCCCAAAGGGAAGAAATATTATGTGTGGAAGTACCATCCAGGGCCACATGGCCTTTGAAGAAAGAAGCTCTTTGTAACTGCTGCTCCCTCTACCGCCTCCGTCATGGATTCCATCTTTCATGTTCTCATGCTCAGCATGAATGAAATATGACTATCTACTTTTGTTTCTTCCTGGGATTTTCCTTAAACACTTGGAAATCTGTTCCTTGTTCGCTAAGGTTATGGCAAAACTCCTTGCCCAACATTTATCTTTGTCGAGTGTTGGATCAAACATGAACTAAATGTGCTTATGGGTTCCTGGGCTAAGGAGTCTACTCTCTACTAAAGCTGAGGTGTGCTTTTTCCTTTAGGTGATTGCTGAAGAATTATCTGGAAATGATGACTACGTTGAGCTTGCATTCAATGCACGAAAATTGGATGACAAGGTAAAGTGTTTGGCATTAACCTTACTGAAAGAAGTAATAAGACTAGCACACACAGTTTAATACACTTTCCCCCTGCAGCTGTTTTTTTCCTTTCAACCCACATTATTAAACAGATCAAAAATTTCAGAGAGGTCTGCAAAGTAAGGCTTCCCCCAAATTGAGAAGCAGCTAATAAGAAGGAGAAGGGACTATAATTAAAACAGAACAATTTCAATATACCAAAACTTCGTTTCCAAATGCCACAGGTCATATGTACACTGGTAAATATGATTTAAACCCTTTGCTAGACACATTCCAAGGAAGAAAAAAAGATGTGAAAGGGAAGAAAATTGACATTTATTAAGCACATATCTTTGCCAGTACAGAGTTAAGTGCTCCTTGTGACAGGTATAATTAACACTGTTTTGCAGATGAGGAAAAAGATTCATAGATGAGTAACTTGTCTAAGATCACTTCTTATGTTAATCCAGATTGTCTAAGAAACAAACACCAAGATAGGATTAAATGTGTGAGAATTGTTTTAGGAGAAATGCCTTTTTGGGGAACACAGCAAGGAAGTCTGGGAAAGTCAATGGGTCATGACAGCATCTGACTCTAACCTGAACAGAGGGAGGAAAGGGTAAGCCAAGTATCCGGAAATGCCATGTGGTCTAAAGAAAGTTCAACAAGGCCATCGGGGAGTCCTTAAGCCAAAGTCAGCTATCAGAGAGTCCAAGGGGAAGCCTGGCCCCAGTGCAAATGCAGGAATGGATGTCAGAGCAGAGCAGCCAGAACCCTGGTCAATTATAGTACCTCTAGATAGAAGTCTGCATGTTTTCATGGCAATGTACCGGCTAATAAGTAAAGATTTAATCCCATGTCATCCCGATTTCCATCTATACTCCTTTTTTTTATACCTTCTACCCAATCACTGGCCATGTTAGTTATATATACACAAAAAAGGTTTTGTAATCTCTGCACCTTAGAAGAGGTGGAGGGAGGGTTATCCTCTCGTACTCACCACATGATATCTATAATTTCCTTCCAGCTATATCCTTAAGTAAAAACATATATATATATATACATATATATATTACATCAATACATGTATTTACATAGGATTCCATTTTCCAAAATAAAACTAGAGAATTTGGGATTTTTTTTTTTTTTATGTATTCCACTTTTTCCAACAATGACTTAGAGGGATTAGGCCTAAAATGGTAAAACAACATCTCAGGAATTATTTAAAGTCTTAAACAACAGCTTACATCTTGACATATTCTAATCATTTGTCACCTAGAAAAAGTACTCAGCCCATTTATGTACTCACTCTTTTATTTGTTCATTTATTTAGTCATTCATCATTCATTTACCAAATCTTTGTTGGGTGCTTGTTAGACATGAGGTGCTGAGAAAAAGACATACCACAACCTGGAATTCATCCTCTAACTAAAACATGCATGTAAAAGATGAATGATATAAAAACACCAAAGCCATGATAGGATGCAATAAGTGACATACAATCGAAATGTCCTGGAGAGGGCAATTTATTTTGCCAGGAAACATCAGAACAGACTTTATCATTATAAACTAAATACATGTAGTTATTTTAATGTGCTGAGGACATTGTGTGAAGCCTTCACCAATTGCTACCTTTTGACGTTAGCAGGAGTCAGGCATTGAGAAGTGCGGTGGGCATTATTATCAGTTGGAAGAGAGCTTTTCACTTCACCTCCTCACAAGAGTTGGGTTCCTTCTCCTCCACCATCTTCCCAAGTTTCAGAGGAATTCATAAAACTGCCTTGAAGTATTTTCCCTAGTGCCATTATAAGCCACTGGGTAGGCATATAGCAGTTTTGAGCTACTCTCTTAATGTCTAATGATAGTTTCCCTACCCTTAGTCTCTTAAGTACCTCTAATTTGTCCTCCAACCAACTTATATTACAGTTCAAGGAGACTTCAGGGTATGTTAGTGGCAGGTTGGCTCTTAGGTGTTTGAACAGTTTCCCTTTAGTCAAATAAACACTTGCTCACAGAACCAAAAAGTCCCCTGCAGCACTTAATATGGTTAATGGTCTCAGGCAGAAAGAAGAAAGTTGTAGCATCGAGGAGTAAAACTGCACCACAAAGATCACCTCCCATGCATGACCTCTCAGGAAACAAAGGCTCATCTAGATCGAGGATTGACCCAAAGATTCAATAGTACCGCTCTCGTTTTCTATTGCTTCATAGCAAGCCACCTCAAAACCTAATGACTTAAATTAACAACTATTTCATTATATCTAATGATTTCAAGGGCCAGAAATTCAGTCAGGGCTCACCTGGGCAATTCTTCTGCTCTTTATGATATTAGTGGAAGTTACTCAGTGGTACTCAGCTAGTGGATATGGTTGTCTGGAGAGTTCAAGCTGGCTTTACTCACGTGCCTGGCTCCTGAGATTGCTGAGTGCCTGGACTCAGCTGGAACATGCAACCAGAATGCCTACATGGTGGTCCTAGGTCAGTCATGCTTCCTATGGGGTGCCTGGCTTCTCCCAGAGAGAAAATCCTAAGAGGACCAGGCTAAATATTCATGGTCCTTTCTGACCTGGCCTTGGAAATCATGCATTATTACTTCTGCTACATTCTGTTGGATACAAGTGATTTTTAAGCCATCCCAGACTTTAGGACTTTAGGAGAGAAGAGCTAGACTCCATCCCTTGATAGGGGAGTGTTACGTTTTAGAAAAGGAGTTCTAAAAGTTGTATTTTAGAAAAGGATTTAGATCATAAACTCAGGTGGTCATCTTTTAAAAATGCAATCTGCCATAATATTTTTGTGATGGAACAAGAATAAGACAGTACAATTATTTGCATTAACAGTCTCTCTCTCTGTATATATATGTGGGTGTGTGTGTATATATACACATATCTTTTTTTTTTTTTTGAGACAAAGTCTTACTCTGTCACCCTTGGAAGAGTGCTATGGCATTATAGCTCACAAAAACCTCAATCTCTTGGACTCAAGCAATCCTCATGCCTCAGCCTCCCCAATAGCTGGGATTATAGGCTCCTACAACAACACCTGACTATTTTTTTCTGTTTTTAGTAGAAATGGGCATCTTACTCTTGTCCAGGCTGGTCTGGAACTTCTGGGCTCAAGCAATCACTTTCCTTGGCCTCCCAGAATACTAGGATTACAGGTGTGAGCCACTGCACCCAACCTATCTATCTTATTATTTGTACTATCTAACTATAAAAATAGCTCCAAAAGATTCTTAAGGAGGACCTCTTTCTAGCTTTTAGCATTAAATAAGTTTATAGCTACCTATATGTTATCAGTTAAACTTATATCAATTAAACATATCATATATATTAATTGAAAAAATATATCACAACTAAAAGTCACTATGAGATAAATAAAGCTCTCAATTTTTTGTTGTATTAATGAGTATCATTAAAGTGACTGGATTCTATATATATTTAAAAATTACACTATGAATATATAGGAAAAATATTCTATATCCAATTCAGACAATGGCAGAATCTGAATCCCTTGCAGTAAGCTTTGGTAGTCCCCAGGAATCTAAATAACTCAAGTAGAAAGCCACTGGTCTAACCTAACTGCCCACTTTTACAGATGAGGAAACTGAGGTTCAGAGATATGAAATGACTTACCTAAAGCACATAGGCACACACTCACAAAAAATCAGTGCCAAACAGGGACTCAATTAAGTTTCCTGACTTAAATCTAACTCTTCTTTTAGGCAGAGAATGAATGAATAGACATTGGATTGGTCTCAGAATGTGGAAGACTTGGTAATGTTCCCATGTATTTCAGGGATGTAGAAAGCCAGGAAGCAGGGAGGTCAGGATATGCTCTAGGGCAGTGGTCCCCCAAGTGTGGTTCAAGGTCTCATGACCTTTTCAGGTCCTGAGGTTAAAACTATTTTCTTAATAGTATGAAACATTACTTTTTTTTTCACACTCATTCTCTCACATGCATACAGTGGAGTTTTCCAGAGGCTACATGATGCCTAATATCACAGCAGATTGAATACAGAGCAGATATGAGAATTCTGCTCCCTTTTATTAAGCCAGCCATTAAACTAATTTGTTTAATTATAAAGTAATATCATTCTTCACACTATTTTTTAAGTTTGGAAAATATAATTATTTTTCATTAAAAAGCTATTTTGTTATGATGTACTGGGTTTATTTTTATAATTTTTTTTAAAATAGTGTAACAAATGCATATTTTTAAAATTATCAGTTTTATAATGTGGCCAATATTAGTACATAATAACCCACATAAACAAGAACTCTAATTTTTAAGAAAGTGAAGGTTAAGACCAAGAGTTTGAGAACTGCTCCTTTAGGGTATATCAAGGAACACTAATACTTTTGCAAACCCCAGTGACAGAGAAATGCTTCATTCCTTTTGACAGAGATAGTAATTCTTAACTTACTTTTCCAATGCTGTTTGGCAGACCAGCAGTCATCTCCCCAAGCTGGAAATCCAGAGTTTTTGATATATGAGAGACACTTTTCAATGAGAACCAGTACATAAAAGAAAGACTAAATTTGTAAGAAATAACTGGTTATCTAACCTTAATGCCATTAACTTAGTGGAGAAAGAACTTTCTAATTTCCAGAGTATATGTGTAATATTAGCAGATAGTTGGCAATGAATCCAACAAGTAAGTAGAGATAGGAATGTAATAATCACTTTGGAGCATTCAATCTGACAAAGTGTAGTTTCTCCTCCCTTCCTGAGAAAATAAAATAATCATAGTATATCAGAACTGATTCTCACACTCATGTCTCCACATTTTGTAACAACCGTCATTATAGACTGCATTTTTAGTGTTGCTATGATGCTAGTTTGGTGGGATACTGTGTACATAGACAAATCTGTCTGTAAAGTAGAGGTCAGCAAACTTTTCTTATAAAGGGCCAGGTGGTAAATACTTTAGGCTTTAGTAGGTCTCTATCCCCAAGCTTTGCCTTTGAAGAATGAAAACAGCCATACACAATACATAAATGAAAGAATATGGCAGTGTTCCAATAAAACTTTATTCACAAAAACAGAGACTGGGCCAGACTTGGCTCATGTTATATAGTTTGCTAACTATGTACTCTGTACTCTAAGCAATGTAGTATTTCTTCCTGCTGTGCTGTGATTTAACTATGTTCAAGTATACCTGCCTAGGAGCTGAGGGCTAGTCTGTATTAATAATAGAAAGTTATAATTATTAGGCATCTATATATTTCCAGGTCCTAGGCATCTAACCTATATTATCCTCAAAACTCATAATCATATTCCCAAAAGTGGCAATTTTTTATTTCCATTTTGCAAATGAAACATAGTGAGGTTGAAATTTTTTCCAAAGTTACAGGTTTAGTACATTGTACACCCTGAATATGACTCTGCATCTCTCAAAACAATTTCTTCTAAGTCCAATATCCATTTTAAAAATCACTGTCATGGATATATACTGCTTCCTGACTCTTATCACCCACTCACTTAAATAAATCTTTTGCATATTGAATCAAAAAGGGCAGAGTACTATGCCTTCCATATTATTAAAAAATTTCACTGTAGCAAAATGTCATTAAAATGACTCATTCATTTATCTTCATTTCCTGAACAGTCCCAGTGGTCATCTTAACACTGATGGTCGTGTAGAGCTGAAAATTCCATATTGAAGTGACCACACAGATACAAAGCTTTTGCTTTGAAGCTATGAATTTCTGCGTGTACACTTGATGTTTTGAGCTGCTTGTGTGTTGTTTTATTTCCAGGAATCAGATGCCTTCTTAATATTTGCGTAGAGTTTTACGAAGTATCTCCATGAATTCTCTCTTCTATTGATAATAGTCATAGCAGCCAAATTTTTTTGAGCGCTCACCATGTACCAGGCACTGGACTCAACCCATCCTAAGGACCAGATCCTCTAATTTTCCCACATGACTATGATGCAAAGGGTGATGCTCCTTTTATGTATGGAGGAGAAACTGAGATGGAGACATTAAATATCTACCTAAAATCATCCAGATTCTATGTGATAGAGTCAGGATTTGAAATCAATACTAAAGCCAGGGTGACAGCACACAGATTTTCAGTTATTTGAAGACAGACGCTGTATTTTCCTGGATTTGTAGTATGTCTTCCTGACAACAACTTCTTGCTGATACTAAAAGGTATTTTAAAAGAGTCTGTGAGATAAAATAGAAAGAGCATTGTAATATACCACAAATAAAAGGAATAGGATACTAAACTATACAGAGATTATAATTACAAGTATTTTTTAAAGGAAGAAAATATATCTAGATTCTAGAAAAAAAATTTACCAAAATATCATTAGTGGTTGTAGAATTATGGGTGAGCATATGGGGTTTTTTTTTCCTGTTTTTGTTATCTGTTTTTCTATATTTTCCATCTTTAATGATGGTAACAAAAGTCTTAGCAAAATAATTGATAGAGTTCTTCCATAGTGGTTAGCAGTTTTTAAGTACTATTCATAAACACGTTCCCTGAAGGACCAACAATCTATTTAAGGAAGCAAAGCATGAAGCTATTAGAGGAAAAGCCCAAGGGTGCATAGGAACAAGCTAAGTGGCCCACATTCACCAGGGAAGGGAGGGGGAGGGAGGACCCAATTTTTTAAGATGAATGTAGACACAGAAACAGGCCTGAGGGTCTAATGCCTTGAGCAAATTCATAGAAGTGGGAATCTGCTGGAAGTGAGAGAAATGGGCCATTTGGCAGGAGAGAGAGGCTTATGATGAAAACAGACTTGGCAAGATGAAGGCTGTACCTTCAGAAATAGAGTGGATGGGTGTGTCCCAGACTCTGGGTGTTTGGTTCCTGGTTGGGTGGGGAGGAAAGCAAAGGGGAAAGAGTTACTCTCATCTCCTGTCTTGTCTCTTCCTAAGGTATCCTACACCATTTCTAGGCTATTATTCTTCATAACAGAGCTAATCAGTTATTTTTCTGCTCAAAATCCTGCAGTGGTTCCCCACTGCCTCCTTAGGCCAGTCCAGATGATGGTGTTTAAGGGTGTAATGCCCTTCACGTCCTGGCACTGACTTTGCAACATTGTCTCCAATTCCTCCCTTACACTTTCTTAGACTATAGTCCAATTTTGCTACCTGAGATGTTTCCCTTTATGTCTGTTCTTTCACAGGTCACTCAGGCTGTTCCTTCCTCACCACCATCTTTTCCAGTCATAATTTTCAACTCTTTCCCTGTTCTCTGAGCACTCCTTGTGCATTCATTCATTCATTCATTTATATTTTGACTCTGGTTAGATTAATTTATATATTTGTCTTGTCACCAAACTAGATGGTACTTTACAGAGCTGAGGTCAGGTTCTCTCTCTCCTTGTATCTTAATTTTAAGTGCAAAAGTTCTATGATCAGTATATGCTCTATAAATATTTTGCTTACATCAAGAATAGGAAGGCTGATAAAGACATTGAGAATGAGAGAAAATTTTAAAGTAGAGGCCAAACAATGAGCAAAAAGAAATAGTGAGTTTTAATCTGGCTTGCTAATTCTTAGTGATAAAAGATAACTTTTACAGCAAACATGGGCTTAATCCTGCTTTTCTACAGTCTAAATTTCTGGGAAATTCCTTGGTGAGATACATAAGAGTGTGACACCTAAGGCTATTGCTCAGATAGTCTATTATCCTACATGAGGTGTTTATGTTATCACCATTTATTTATATATCTGTTCATTCAATAAACACTATGTACCACTGAAATCTAGACATTATGGGGGATGCTGAAGAAATAGTCAAAATGTAAAGGAAAATAAAGTGTTTCCTCTTTTGAGAATTTATGATCTATTGGAGAGAAAAAATAAGTTTAAAAGAAGGATGGAGAAAGGTACCACTTCCCACAATATAGTGCCTTTCTGTTTTTCATCACTCTCCTATTGAAAACAACTATAAACACTAGACAAGATACAGGAGACATTTGAGAATCCTCAGGCCGTCAGCATTTGAGGGGCCAAGAAACAAGAAAGAAGAAAAACTGGTTCATCAAAGTGATTCAGACATTCCGTGCAGATTTTCCACTTGAGGCAATTTCTCAATGCTAATTCCTAAAATAGCTGGATAGAGGGGTTGAGAAGCCTAGCAGAAAATAGCTACTAGGAAAAAAGACTGCACAGAGGTTTTGGTGGTCTCCTGGGACTGGGGAATAAAAACTGAAGTTCAGGGCTACTAAGAGAGCTAGGGCTAAGGACTCACAGATGCTTCTGAGAAGAGAAGTAGCCCAGGAGCCTGAGTCGTGTCTCTTCTCGGGGCATTCTCTAATTAGCCAATAGCAGCATAATGCCTTTGAGAGTCTCACAAATGCACAACAGCACTGAAGAATTGTCAAGAGGGAGCAGCCTCCTAAACACTCAGGCTTTCAGTTTGAGCCCTTTAAGGACTATAGCCAAGGAGTGAAGGAATCAGAAATATATTGGAGCCTTTAAAGACTTTTGAAAAACCTCAATCTCCAAATAGCTTAATCCTGCTGAGATTCAGGTGACTGGCCTCTTTCTCACCACTTACCAGAAAGCTAAAGACACATCTAAAAACCTTTATAATCTTTTCTACACAGTTATCTACTATTTAATCAGCAATTAACAAGCACACCAAGAGGCAGAACCAAGAAACAGAAAATAGAAACAGATCCACAGGTGATCCAGATATTATAGTCATTATATAGGGTTTATGTAATAAGCATAATTAGTGTATGTAAGGTAACAGATAGATTGATTTTCAATGAATTGGCATTTGGATTGATCTTTGAAGAATACTCTGGGTTTCAAGCAACAGACCACTTACTCCTTACTAAGGATCTGGACTTCAAATGCAGTTCATTTTAGCCAAGAGCGGATCACAGAAATGAAGAATGATGCAAGAAATGGTGACACACACTATTAAAGGACAAAGGGAAGGGAGTTTGAGTTAAATTGGGGCAGGAAAAGATGACAAGCCTGGCCTCCATTCCCCGTATAGACAAGAGGAAATCAGGAGGGTTTCTTCTTGATTAAATCTTCCTGATTGATCAGGACTCGATCAAGTGCAAGAGGAAAAAACCAACAACTTCTTGCTTGCTATTTATCTGTTTTAGGATTTCTTCAGCAAATCTGACCCCTTTCTGGAAATTTTCCGGATGAATGATGATGCAACTCAGCAGCTGGTGCACCGAACTGAGGTAAGGAGAGGCAGCTTCAGCTGTGCTGTCTTGTCTCCTAAGATGATAAATTGACCTGTTTTGAGGAACCCTTATCTTTCTTAATGTCTCTAGATACATCCTGAGGCCAGGAGTCTTCGCTGTCTTCAAGAAGATTCTCTGCCATTTTTAGCTTTGTTTAAAAAAAGAAATTTTCAATTTTTTAGTTGTTAGAAGAAAAACCCCTCTTTAACCTCAATTTTGTATTGTTGACCTTCAATACAGGCAGCCAACAACTTAATAAAAGTGTGAATACCAGCTAACAATTAAAGATGATGACTAGCTCCCAAGAATTGTACTCAGTGATTTACAGGCATTATTTTATTTACTTCCCACAACAATTCCTTGACATGATTACTATTACTGTTCTTGTTTTAAATTTGAAGAAACTAAACTTTAGGGAGATTAAATCACTTTCCCAGATCTCACAGGTAGCAAAGGGTGGAGCTGAGGCTTAAATGGAGGCTGCTTGATTCTGAGCTTTACCTCAATTTGGGGAGTTAATCTGCCTCTCCAGGGAAAGTACATACAGGGGGCTGATGTTAGGCTTATCACATGAACAGCTGCCCTGTCTCGGCTGCCTCTTGGTCTAGCTGTATCTCCTTTTCACTCTCCCACTCTTTCCTCCAAATTGCCCCAAACTTTATCCCCCATTTACCTACCCCTACTACCCACTACCACACACACATTCAATAACCAACCCCAATCTCCATTTTTTTTTACTTTATTTTACTTATAACCTAGTCCAAGAGGAATTCTGTACAGGTGGGAAGTGCATCGATAAAACAGAAGTGGTATAATTGTGCTGAATGACTAAGAGCTAGGAGAAGACCCAGTGGTGCTTGCATACTAATGAAGGGTAAAAAAAGGAGGAACTCCCATGACTTTCATGGAGTGATGGTGGCATGCCACATTCTCATTATCTTATGTTGGAAATCCAATTCATTTTCCTGAAGTAACAGAGTTGCAGGTGGTACTAGGGGAACTGTTCATGTCATTTTTAAAGCAGAGAATACTTAAATGTTCTTGGATGGGCTAGTTGTTGGTATCATTTGACATATAGTTGGCACCTAATAAAATATGTTTAATAAAAGAATAAATGAATAGACTTGAATATAAATAGAATCTTTATCACGTGCTATAAATTAGAACAATGCAATTCTCTGGAACATAATTGCTGGAGAATAGATTGAGGTGAAGCTTACACAGTTACCAAGTGCCATCCCATCCCACCACCAAAAACAATCTTTGTACATAAAGATCCTTTTGTTGAAATAAACTTATTTTGGGAGAAGTAAATAGACTTCGTGGAGAAATGGAAGTGTTATCCATTTATGCTTTTGCTCTGTTCGTGAACTGGGGCTTTAATCAGGGAGCAGGAATAGCGTATTTTTGGACTTTTCTCACAAGATCCTCCTTTCCTTTACTCTTGGCAGCATTTTTCTTTTCATTGTTGATATTCGTAAATTCTTCTATTCCCAAGATTCTCTAGAATTTCCTCCTCTTACCCCATTGCTAAGAGGCTTCTGGAATCTCACAGGAAACATGGTTGCAAAGTTTTCCAATGAGTCAAGCAAGATAACATTGATTTTCCTTGCTTTCTCGGTAGATGCAAAATAAATACCAGGCAATACTGTTTACTCGGGGTGGGAGGCAGAGCACACACGCATATGTAACCGCCCCCCCCCACACACACATACAGGTTTTCGTTTCAGAGAAAATTTTTGTTGTTACTGAGTTTTTCAAAACTGTTGCCACAAAACATCTTCATTTACTGGAATTTGAATAAAGGTAAGAAATTTAACCCTAACAATTTTATCTAATTTTCCTTTTCACGATCACTTTCATCATTGTCAGGGTATTAGGAAACATGAAAAAAGTCACCCAGACACATTATTAATATTTCTCTACTTTAATGCATCAAATCAAATGAAATTTGGTGATGGGTCCATATCAATAATTCATAGTTATAATAGTAAGGAATCCAGTACAAGAGGGAATCACATATAAAGTAATTATGTTACTTGGGGAGAGAATTAGTTTTTTAATTAAAAATGCTAAGACTTCTGCTAGCTTGAAAACTTTGTAGGAAGAAAGATCAATATGACAGAATCCCATTTACCTTCCCTTGGGTGTCCCCTAGAGCAGTGGTTTGCCTAGGAGGCCTCCTCCCCAGTGTTTGTGGGAAGGTCTGAGGGGAGCCCCGCGAATGTGTTTTTAAGGGGCCCCCAGGTGATGCGGCTTCTGCTGGTTCTGCAACCACACTTGAGGGAACCCCTCCCCGAGTGTACCCAGTGCAATGGTAGGAACAAAGTAGCTACTCACATATTCTGAGCCAAACTGTGCACCAGGGTGACAGCAGCAGGATGCTTGACTTGTGTAGACACATGGGCGGGATTTAGCCAAGTACACGATTCATAAGCTGATTTTAAAGGGGTGTTACTATGTTGTAGACTTAGTCTGTAATCTGAAGATCTTCCCTGTTGGGCCTCTCTGGATGTTCTAATTGAGATGGTGACAAGCCAGTATTAGTATGCTCCTGGGATTCTTCTAGAAACTTCTCTTCTGACTTACAGTCTGATGGGACTCAAGGTCACATCATAACTCTTTTGCAGTAGAATTGTCTTGCAACACCTTCTGTTTCTGCCAAGAATCTTTACCTGTGCTGACCACAACAGAAGGGAATTTATACTGTAAGCCTGACAGTCCTACAGAACAGGGGATCCTCTATTAATGGTCAGAAGAAGCCCCACCTCATTAATTTTAGCCCCTTTTGATATAGAAGGGAGCATCCTCAGAATTTACATGCTAGAAAATATTACTGTCATTAGTCATGAAACAACATCCAGAACTAAACTGCAGGGGATCTGCTCATAATGACCTGCTTAGTGAGCACCCTTAAAAGATTTACTACCTCCAGTTTTTATTAAGGCTCCTGTTCCAGGCAATTGTTCTTTTCATAAGCATCACAATGGCTTCTCAAGCAATTTTAATGTCAAAATGTGAAAATGTCAAGTATTTTCTCCCCCACTCACCGCTTCTCTCTCTTTTCCCAGGTTGTGATGAATAACTTAAGCCCAGCCTGGAAATCATTCAAAGTATCAGTCAATTCTCTATGCAGTGGAGACCCAGACCGCCGGCTGAAGGTCAGAAATCTATATCTAAGAAATGCAATTTTAAAAATATATTTAACCCTCCTCCTTCTCCTCAAATGAATATTGGCAAACTCACAATTTTCTGTATGACTTATCCAATCCTTTCATATCTTTTTTTTTTGGAGGCAGAGTGTTACTATGTCATCCTTAGTAGAGTGCCATGCGTGGCATCACAGCTCACAGCAACCTCAAACTCTTGGGCTTAAGTGATTCTCTTGCCTCAGCCTCCCAAGTAGCTGGGACTACAGGTGCCTGCCACAATGCCGGCTATTTTTTTGTTGCAGTTGTCATTGTTGTTTAGCAAGCTGGGGCCAAGTTCGAACCCTCCAGCCTGGCTGTATGTGGCTGGTGCTGTAACCACTGAGCTATGGGCACTGAGCCATATCTTAGCATTTTGATAGAAGAAACAGGCTATTTCTTCTGGTGAAGCCATTTGAAGCTCATGTGATAGAACCAAATAATTCCCAATTATGTTATGTCAAGAGGAAAAACCCATGGCTTCTCAGAGGCAAAACTGTGGCAATAAGTTGAGTATAACTGGGAGTTATTACAAGCAAAAATATTGCTGTATCAATTTCTATTGTTATATAACAGACCACCCCCAAATTTAGTAGCTTAAAATAAGAACTAATTATTTAGCTTATGTTTCTAAGCATTGACAAGTTGGTCTGAGCTGATCTAGATGATTCTTCTCTTGGTCTTGCTCAGATTCTCTCAGGCATTTGCAGGGTGGCTTTGCTTCTGGGTTGGGGACTGTTGTCTGAAATGATGGGGCCAAGAGGATGGGTCACATAGCTCTCATCATCCAGCAAGCCAGCTGAGACTTACATATATCTTAGGATTTTACAGAAACTATAAGACCTCTATGCCCAGACCTCATGTAAGGTCACTTCCTCCATGGTGCAGGCCAAAGCAAGCTGCATGGTCATTACATATTCAAGGGACAAAGAGCTAGAGTTACCTCCTGAAGTGGGAAGCTGCAAAGTATTGTTTGTGGCCACTGTTTTCAATCTACCACAAATGTGGTTGGATACATTTAGGAATCACCTAAGGAAGACAATGGGCTGAATGCCAGAAGCACGCTCTAGGAGACACTTCCATAGTCTGTGCCCTGGCTTAGTCTGTTCCCTCTGCCTTAGAAGTCTAGAAGTTCCACGTTGTAAATGGCCCACAGTTGATTATACCAGTTCAGGATAACTAAGTAAATTTACCAGAGACTGGTGTCTATAAACTGAAAGGCCAGTTGACTAGCATTTAGTGAAAAACATGACTGTCAAGCAGACTCAGCAGTCATATCAGCTTTACCAGAGTGTTTTCTTGTGGGCAAAACAGGAGGAAGACAGTCATCATTAGGTTGCTGTGATTGCCTAGCAGCAGAGCTGGATAACTGAGACATTAATGGCTTCAGACTCTGCAAGCTGGTAGCATTCACCTCCACTGTGGGGGTAATGGTCCATCAGGCAGACTAAATGTCCATGTTGACCTTTCAGGGCGCCTAATCCCCTGGAAAATGTTAAATGGACATTGATGATGTTTGTCTTTGTATTATAACTTCACATTCTCTCTACTCCTTTGCCCCACAAACCTTCTTCTGACAGATATAATTCTTTTGATTGCTTGATGCTACTAATCAAATTAAAATCCTCTCTGGCTGGTTAGTCCCAGCCTCTTTAAAGTGACTTTATGTCTTTGCTTAAACCCATTTTACGTGGGCTTTTCAGTTGAGCTCACAACAGATATATCCCATGTTCTTGAGGATTATGCAAGAGTTGGACCCGATATCTCCTGTAAGAGCAAAGATATTTCAAGCCTCAACCCCCCATGGGAAACTCTCTTTCCTGCCAAAATCAGAATGCATGGCTTCTTGGACCCTCAAATAAAAAGCCAGACATAGTGGCAATTACCACCTATCATCTGAGCAGCACCATCCCACACCCGTGGAGATAAATGACCCCCTTTTGACCAGATGAGGAGTGAATGGATAAAAGGAGAGGGTTATCTGTAATTGAATACATAAAAGTGCAGAGAAGGAGCACTTTGTGGTCTTTTGAGTGCTCTGCTGTCTATAGAAGAACAACTGGGAGCAAAGGAGATAGGATATGAAAGGGGTAGCAGTGGTGCCCAGAGACGAGATGGGGAGCTGGGAGGTTTAGGTCAGGTTTATTGAAAGGGAGAGTGACCTACCTGGGCAGGGTAAAGATGGTGTCTGTGCCCGGAAGGCATTAGTGACCCTTTAAAATGGGGCTGCAGGGAGTGTGCAAATTCCACAGCTTGCCTGGAGGGCTTTGGTGGGTTAGGGTCCTTTGGTGAGAATTTCAGGAGTGGGCCTAATTAGGCTCTTTGTGTCCTTAGGAGAGGAGGAGGAAGGGGGGAGGGTTCAACGGTTCTTATAGAGCTGTGTTAGGTAGACAGAAAGAGGAGAGAGAAAGAAAGAATGAGAGGGAGAAAGGGAGGAGGGGAAGAAGGGAAAGGGAGGAATAAAAGGAAAGGAGGCAGAGGAAAAAGGGAAGGGAGGGAGAGACCAGGATTTCACCACAGCTGCAGTGTTGACATCTGGATTTTGCTGTGAGCAGCTGTCCTATGCATGTAGGCTGCTTACCGGCATTCCTGCTACTAGGTGTCAGCAGTATTCCATCCCCCCAGCCACCCATGTTGGTCTGACAACCAAACTGTATTCAGGAATTGCCAAATGTTCCCTGGGGGGCAAAATCATTCTGAATTAGGAACCACTGGTATAGACCAATGGTTCACAAACAGCTTAGGGGGCTTGTTAAATCCCTCAGGAGCCTACAAAAATGTTTTAATTCCTTTCAAAACAGAAGAAAAAATGAACTTATAAGATTTAACAGAGTGTTCTAAGTTTTTTCTCACACAAGAAAACAGTGAACTTTTTAGGGCCCAGGAGAATCTATTTTGGTACAGGGGCCAGGAAGGCAAAAGTGCCTGGTGCCGACGAAAGTCGTAATATGACCCTGTCCCAAATCGTGCCATCATGTCCCAAAATCCCACAATGTGTGTTGCTAAAGAATAAGCAATATTTTTGTAACATAGCCATAAAACCATTATTATTCTTATTTTCATAGTTAATATTAAGAATACTTCCTTAATACCATCAATTATTCTGCCATGATTCATATTTGCCTGATGTTCTCATTTATTAAATAGATATTTTGTTTTTAAGTTAAGATTTAAACCAGGTTCGCATTGCGTCTGACAGGTGTCTCTGAAGTCTCTTTTAATTAGTTAGTTCTCCCTCTTTCTCTCTTATTCCTTGCAGTTTACTTACAGTTTGGTTTGTCCCATAGCTCACTCACATTCTGCATTTCCTATGAATAGGTAGTTGGGGCTTGATCAGATTCAGGGTCTTTTTTCCTGGCAAGAATATCCCCAGTATTATTAAAAATTTATGCATTTGGAGGTTTTTTTTGCAGTTTTTGGCCAGGGCTGGGTTTGAACCCAACACCTCAAGGCATATGGGGCCAATGCCCTGCTCCTTATACTAGTATTTGAGTGCTTCAATCTATTTCAGTTGTCCCATGTTTGGCTGATGAAAACCCTTCAAGTTGACTCTTGCATTCTTTTGGCATAAGAACAAATAGTCTTTAATAATTCCCTTGCTTTCTGGAATGAATTTTTGAACTTAATGAATTTTGAAAAAAATTCAGTATTTTTCCTTATAGAATATATATATTTCTATGGATGTTAAATCACATTTTATTTTATTTCATTACTTATTTATTTATTATCTTAGAGACAAGTTCTCACTCTGTTGCCCAGGCTGGAGTACAATATCAATCACAGCTCACTGCTGCCTCAAACTCCTGGACCCAAGCAATCCCCCTGCCTCAGCCTTCTGTGTAGCTGGGGCTACAGGCATGAGATACCACACCCGGCTACTTTTTTAAACTTTTTGTAAAGACAGAGTCTCACTATGTTGCTGAGGCTAGTTCCAAACTCTGGATCTCAAGTGATCCTCCCACCTGGGAACTTCCAAAATGCTGGGATTACAGGCATGAGCCACTGTGCCTGGCCTGAGTCTGACTTTAATGTCTCTTGAAATAATTTCTCTTCACAGTTAAACCTCTAGCCATAGGACTGTCAGGTTCATTTTTCTCAAATTTTTAAAAAATGTTCTTCAAATTTAATCTTGTTTTATAGTTATATACAATGTTTACATGGTTCCAAAGTCAAAAATTCAAAACAAAAGAACCTTCAAAACAAGGTATATTCAAAAAGTTTAGCTTTCATTCCTGTTCCTTCCCCCCTTTTACCCTCTTCTCTTGTAAGTCATCATTTTGTAGTGTATTTTAGTACCTGATAGAGTTAGCCTCTCCCACTTCTGTATCCCTTGTTTTTTAAAATGTTTTCCTAGAAACTTTACCAGTTTATTCTTTCTATTAAGATCTATAATCTAATTCCATTTTAAAAAAAACTTGATGGTATTTTTACTGAGATTGCATTAAATTTGTAAATGAGGCAGAATTTGCTCTTTAGTATTGAGTCTTCCTGTCCCTGAATTATGCAAGGTCTTATCGTTCCTCCAAGTCTCCTTTTGTAATTTGCAGGAATGCTTAATGGAGTTTTCTTCTTTTCTGTTTACCATCATTTGTCTATTGGTATATATAAAGGCCATCAAATTTTATTTTCTTAAACTGCTATGTTATTAAAATTTCTTACTGTTTATAGAAATTTTCCATTAATTTGGCAGAGTTTTCCAAATATATTCTTATACCATCTGAAAATACAGTTTTCCCCTTCCTTACCTACCTCTTCTGGCTCTAGTTATTTCTCTTCTTTAATTGCATGGGCTAATACCCTCAACACAATGTTAAATGCTGGTAGAGATGGAAGACGTCCTAGCCTTAGTCATCAATGTAGTGGAAAATCCTATTATGTTTTCCTATTACTTCTGGCACAGATTATTTTTCAAAGTAATTCTGAAGATGCCAGATATTCAGGGCTTTCTCAGAGACATCTACTGAGCCCTAAAC